GAATTACCATTCCAAGTAGAAAAGGAAGAAAAAAAATCTGTTCTATTTAAAATATACACCATCTAAGCATAAATACAACTAAACTTCTTTCTTTATATATTGAATTCACCAGAAGCAGTAGAGCTAGCTCTTCCTTCAGCTAACGTTTCTCAGTGGATTTGTTCTCCTTCATTTGTGCCAAAAATCAGTCTGCTTTGCGCAGAAACACCTGACTTACAAAATGATTTTACAAAATGCTTTCTTCAGCTTTGGAAAACCATTTTAGCTATGTTTGCTGACCAGATTACAGCTTTAAATTCCCATTTGAATACTACTAGAAAAAAAATTACACTAATTTTCTTTCACTTTCCTCTGTTCAATGAGATACTTCATCAGTGGAAGTGTTGTCAAAGCTATGTACATCTTTCAATGATCTAACAGCCATGGGACAGTGTCCTCTCACTGGGACACTTTAATGTCCTGTTTAATGACGGTCTAAAAGTGACTTTTTCCCCACCAGAACTGGACACAGCCAGTAGTTTTTACTGGTGTCCAGCTCAGTCCCTGTAATCTTTATGCAAATTCAAGCCTTATGTATAAAGAATTAAAGACCTGATCAAAAGCTCCATTATTTATTGGATAATTTCCACACATGAGAAAAGACACCTACCAAAGCATCAGAAGATTAAGGTTTTTGTTCTCCTGGCTGTCCAAGGAGGTGAATTTCCTGACAAGAGAAAAAAAAAGTTTTACTAAATTTCAAAGAGTTCTAAATAAAAACTAAAGAAAACAAGATAAAGCAAACTAATAAAAACTTAACAATTAACAAAAAGCTTTAGATAACATTTGCAATGTTTAAGTTACTGAAATTTATGGGAAAATAATATATATTACAAACTACTGGTTATGAAGTTTTACAGTTGTTTAATAGGGAATAGTTTGTCCAAATTTAACTAGCTAAGCTAAGGCTTTTTAGATTACTAACACAAATTAAACGTTTTAAAATGAGAATTTAGGTGTCCTCAAAGTCTTTCCTACATTCTAAAATGAAATTTTCTAAGTTGTAAGCCTCCCTGGTTTTATTGGTTATATTAAGATAAATTAAGTGAGATTAAAATCTGATTTGATTTATTTACCTTTGCAAATGAAGACCGTTTTAAGGGTTACACATCCTCTGCCTCTGACGAAAGCGACCTCAATTAGTCAAGTCAGAAAGTCCTAAAAGCTTTGTGTTTATTGCTTCCAGCACGGAGCGAGGTGGTCATTAACGTACCCAAATTCTCATAAAAATTCCAAAGTTGCACTAGTGAAAAAATGCTCAACAAGATGAAAACTAGTCACATCTTTTTCAGAAAATTCAGTAACTATTTTAAACCATTTTTAACAAAAGTATTTTGATTTAATGTGGCACTCAAGCAGATCCATACCATTTGGATACTTTAAACAGCATTTATATCTCCTGTGAGTATATATATACATTTAGGTTTAAACCATTTTTTTTTAAAGAAATTGCACAATGTTTAATAGGAGCCTTTTATGATGATGACTGTTAACCATTTCTCCCTGTTTACTACTATTTATGAAGTTTTATTATACGATAAAGAATAAAATTAATCTCACACACACTGATTTTTCTTTCAAAAGTTTATTTAGTATCAAGCAAGGGTAAAACTTTGCTTAACACTACAGAACATTTCAAGACTCGAGTTACAAAATACCACATTATTTGCATTTGTAATCTGTTTCCCTTTTTACGCATGTTTGCAAAGAGAAAATCTAGCAAATGGCTGAAAATAAAAACTAAAAACTAAGTTGTTGAAAACCTTTAAAATAAAAGGTTACGCTTATGTTAAAAGAATGGACTAACATATTTAGTAAACCTATTTTTTGTTTAACACTAGTTAATCAAAGGTTATTTTTTTGATCACCTATTTTTGCAAATACAGTCTGAAATAACAAAGTTCCTTGTTTTACATATGCTTCTGTCCAGGTTGTCTTTCAACAAAGTATTTTAAATTCAGTCCATCCATTCAGATTTTTATACGCTTTGAATTAATAAAAAGGGATTGTTCATAGAAAAAATTACTTTGAACAGTATACAGGACTGGTGGAGATTGGATATTTCACATCAGACAGTACAATCAGTATCTGGCATATGGCTGGTCTCTGTAGACTCCTTTTGTTGTCCTTGCAGAAGGTGCCTTGTGTCGTGAGTTGGTCCATTCTTCTTGCCCTGTGAGAAAGGAAAATAGAGTTAGACCCCTTCTAGTGTCCTCAGATGCTATGCTGATTTTTTTCCATATTTAATTCTTAGACAGTTGCACTTCATCTACCAAAACCAAGGTGCACAAAGAGAAGTCTAACACATGAACCAAAAAAGGTGGGGTACAGCACACCTAGATGACCTATCTCAGTGCTTTTTCAGCACAACAACAGCAGGGAGTGTGACAGGCTAATGGCAAAAACATTTGGGGCTCTGGCAATCAGCTGGACCTGCCTGTTGCAAATACACTGAAATGTCAGCTATAGTAGCAGACCTGCAAACAATTATGCCAGGATGAAACGAATGGAGGATGTGAATTATGCATAAGCAAATAAGTTACCCTCAGAAATAAGTTTTTTTTTTTTTCATCATTACCAATTCAGGCTTAATTCAAATATGCAGTAGTGAAAAGTCTCAAGAATCACTACAAACACCTGTGGCTTCTAATAACCTAGAGGCAGTATTCAACTTCACTGCAAATAGACACTTCCTCTAAACTTTAAGAAAAAGGCAGGCAGATTATAAAAAAAGAGCAAGGGAGATCATTTGGTTGAATTTTAACAAAAGTCTGTGAAAAACTTGTGTTATATTTAATGGTTCATAATCCTACCATGTTTTAATGGTCATAAATATTACTAAAAAGTGGCAAAGTATTGCCTTAAGTGAGTCAGTTACAATAAGAGGGAAAACATGACCAAATACAGAGTACAATGAAACAGCACTTAGGTATGCTTTAGTCAGGTAAACACAACTCAGAGTACTATATCACCCCTGAGAGAAAAAGGAAACAGAACAATAGGCCTTCACCTGAAAACAGTGTATTGTGCTTCCACATCTGCTTTTGGAGAGCTGCCCTGCCCTAGGCATACAGGTGTCCAAGTGAACCCAAGGCAACCCAGAAGTTAAGTCTGGAATGTAACTGCATGCCAACCTCAAATGCAGGCACCACTCACCCTAGCTATGTAATTTGTAACACAGGTGGCTGCCTGCAGAGCCTCAGTTACAGACCATACCTAGATGCTGAGAACATTTGCCAAGGAGGTAAAACAAACAAGTGTTTCTTGTTTCAAATTTGGTGTAAGGCCCAAAGAATTAAATTTGTACATCAGGAAGTTCCAAAGGAAGCTGATCACAGACCAATGTACACGAGAAGGGACCTGTTGTGCTTCATCACACAGCAAGCAAGGCTCATCCTGAGAAAGGGAAAGGACTGCAGCCTGACAGTAAAGGCACCTGGCTGAGGGATAAGAATTAAGAACGTCCTAGATTTAAGCACTGCTGCTTCTGTTTAGATGTAAAAAGCAGTCTTGGCTACAGTTTCAAGGGAATAGTTGCTCTTTTTCAAGCAATTGGTCAAATCAGTAGGGTAAAGAAAGTCACTTTCATTTTCATCAGTTTTCATTTTTGTGCTATTCGGGGCTCAGAATCCCAACACCAGTGATATTCTTCCTACATCCTCTGGATTGGCAACTGAACTTCTCAGATGTGGAAAAGTTGGTGTAATTCCTAGGAATCTGTTTCCTCCTGGCCAGCACTAGGCAACTACTTGCTCACTATGCAGTTTTATGAATTTTAGTTTGAAGCACCTAACAAACTTTACAGACTGTAAGGATGACTGTTATCTAACTCTGCATTTAAGGATGTACTTGAGAGTCAGATAGTTAAGAAGGGTATAATTATTTGTACATGCAAAAAATTCAGTAGCTGTAGCCCATAATCATTCTTCAAGGTATTTATAGTCTCACTCTCAACTTGAGTAAATGCATGACTTAATATTATGAGTGGCTGTGCTTTAATAAATTGAAAACCAATTTTACATGCAAGAGCAATGAAAAAAAATCCATATTTTCAATCTAAAATGCTCAAACCACATTTTCCCAATGTTTCATTGGTCAACTCTATCTACATTACGCAGTTCCATATATTCCCCTCCCTCCCCCCGAATCAATTTTGCATTCAAGAAATAGTCTTAGAAGTATCAGGCTTATAATTGCAAACCATTTTACTTTAATGGTGAAAAAGATTTAAGCTATGTACTTATCAACATCAATTTTAAGTACTGAAGGACACTGGAATTTCAATTGACCTCTTATTTTGTTAATCTGACTTCCCCCTTAAGCAAAATAATTTCATTTAAGTAGACAACATTGATCAAAATTCTGTATTAGATGCATTTATCACAACTCAGTTGAGTTCATTTTAGTTTTCAGCAGAAACTTCCAAATAGAGTGCAAGAAATACACCATGGAAAAAATTAAGGAGCCCTTCAAAAAATCACTGAAGCATCCATTACCCAGAAACAGAGCTCTTACAAGAGCTACAACCAACCCTCAAATATTTGAGATTTGAGTGATCTAGATTATATTTGTCTGATCTCTAGCCAAAGATTTAACATTTATCCCTTAAGCAAAGGTGCCTTTTAACATGCTTGATGCTTTTAATCTGTAACAGATTTCTTTAATTAAACTTGTCACTACCACACTTGTAGCCTAAAAAAAAAAGTGATCTTTACCACTGGCATATGTTTTTTGGTTCATTACGCATTGTTTTGTCTCTGTATGAGTAACCCAGTGCCCTTGTGTCTGCCAGCTACCTGAAGTACTTCCATAACCTTTACACAATGACTCCCTGCTTGATTTCACAAGACTGACGCAGGAAAATGAATCCAGGAAGACCATACGAGTCTAAAATGCATTCAGTCAGGCCCTGACTCATCGGAGAACTTCAGCAAATTCTTGCCTTGTACCAAGTTTCAGTGCCAGTTGTGTCACACTAGAAGCATTTGCTTTCAGTTGTAAGCAGCTCCTGAAATAAAGGGCCTACACTCCTTTGTTTTTCTGCCTTAAATCTCATTGAATCTGACATGAAAATGGTACTTGCAGCATGATTTAGCTTTTAATTTATTTCTTGGATTTCAGTCTCACTGACTGTTAGCTTACAGACCACAAAAACCTCCCCTTCAGGACTTTTCTCAAGAACCACATGAGCTGCTCTGTGGCAGTGTGGGAATCCCTAGGCAGCTGTTCCCCACTGCAGGACTGAAGCCTGCCTGATGGAAATTCTTCTTTGATTCTGCTTGCTCAAGAGTCTACTAGTGTATTCAGTCAGCTCATAAAGCTACTCACCATAGGAGTCGTATGTCTCTTCACTCAGCCCGTGGCCATAGTCATAGTAATCTGCCCCACTGCATGGAAGGAGGGAAGTAGGAAGAACAAGAAATAAAGGAATTACATTTTAGAAGCAATGCTTGTCATTGTATGTTCATGTGGCAATGACAACTTAGGTCCTGTTTGTTCATTAATTAGAAAAGAAACTATCTACTTTCATTTAATATTCTTCATCACTGAACCCCTGGTCCACAGTGTAAATGTGGATGTAAGGATATTAAATATAAAATTATAGTTCGGAATGTTAAAGATCTTAGGAGTGCAAATGAAAGACAACTAAGACATGAAAGTACTGAATCAATCAATTTCTTGTATAAAGATCTTTTCATGACCCACTGCTGCCTAGTATTCTGCGTTTGCATCTTTGCATTCACTGATAAAAATGCAATACAGGAGAAGCAACTTGCTGATCAGAGGGTAATACACTTGCCATACAAGTTCCACTGTCTTCAGAACAGGACAGATGTGCAGATATGCAAATGCTATCATTTTAATAGGCAGACAAGAAATAGTAATAGAAACTAACTTAAAAGCAGAAATCTGCAGTCATAGGATTCAAAGATTTGTATGAATACCACAACCATGTCCTAAACCAGTTCTTTCCATTTCATAATGTCCTTGCTATCTGTATTAAGACCACTGAATGGTAACTGAAGTACAAGCCTTATTAGATACTACTTTTCTATTCATGCTTTAATTCATTTAAGTATAGTCTTTTACATAGTTGACAGAACAAGAGTCTATTAGACATGTCTGCAGGACATAAAAGCAAGTCTCCTAATTGTTCCTTTCCTTTTCTAACCACAGACTCAGGACTAATATTTGGAAAATACTCCACCAACTGATGCTACCAAGTTGCTGCCTTCTGAGTGGGAATGAAATCAACAGGTGATCACTAGCAAGTAACTATGAATGTGGACAAAACATTTCTAACATTAGATTTATTGCTAACAAAAAAAAACCCACCAGAAAAAGCAATTGCTAGGCTGAACTTGAATTTGCAAGTAAAGCATTTATATGAAATACCACATCATAATCCCTTCTAAACTGACACAAGACAAAGATCATTGTTAGGTTTTAGCTTCTTTTTTTTTTAAAAAAAAAAAAGAGGTTTTAAATGCAACAGAATAATCCAGGCCAGAAATAATCCAGTTCTGGTGTGTGCAAATGCATACCTAAGGAGCATGGATGAGTACTTGTTACTGTTATATAAGGCTTCCTAAAAAACTCAAGCTGAATGCACTATGAAGACCCACCAAAAAAACCAGTATTTGTATACAACCTAGATGTTGTCTATTGTTTGTTAGTCCATGTGATGAGAACCCCAGAAAAAGAAAGGTGAAGTCTGAAGCAATGAAATAACAATTTTCCTCTACAGCAGCCAGTGACAAAAGTCTTTATTCTGACAACCAGCTTAAAATTGACATGGACTATCCTTCCACACAGCACTTGATTATTCATTTGAAGGCTCTCATCAAGTTTAGAAGCCTACAGCAGCTGAGCCCTATCCCCATATCTGTCAATCCTGTCAGAATGACTTTTGCAGGGTTTCATTTCATAGAGCAAAAATTAAACGAACAAATGACTCATTTTCCAGAATGTAAATGGCAAAATAAACAAATATTAGAAAGGAAAAAAATTACTTATACTGAACATATGTAATGGCCTATCTTTATTAGAAGACAAAGCCTCCAAAATTGATAATCTGTCCAAAAAGTACAAGCTAAAATGTGAAGTAAGGATGCCTAGTGCAATTCAATGCTCTCTACTCTCCCTGCTCTCATTCGTACTCTGAGTCTCCACGTTATCTCAATTCAACTCCATGTTAAACAAATGCAGTTTCAGATAAGACAACTTAAAGACACAAAGAAAAGGGTACATACAGGTGTCTGTAAGGAATTCTGGGTAAAAAAAAAAAAGCACAAAAAAAGATTTTTTGTTTCACCTGTAACAGTCTGAAAAGTCCATGGAGTTCACAACCAAGATCAAAAATAACAGACTTTTTAGGGAATAACAGAAAACTCTAGTACTGTATATAAAGTTAGAGCTTACAGAACTGTATTCATTCCAAAGCAATCACCTGCTAAAAAGAAAGCTAGTCAAAAGGAACCTGAAATACCAAATTTCATTCCAAACTGTACATTTGAACTCAGCCAATATAATTGAGATCAATTCTGTTGTGAGAAATGAAGTAGCTCTATTAAATAATTCTTCATCTAGACAAAGGTATGATGTCAATTTTTGTGTTTTAAAAGCATCCTTAACATTTATATTTACATACAGATTCCCTGGAATCTTACCATTTTGACTGAAGATTACTCAAATTTTATTTCCTTTTAATGGATTTATTCTGCAAGGGAAGCCCTTTGCTGCTGCTTCCCTTCATTTTGTCTCACAGAAATGAAAAAAAAGAAAAAAAATCAGAAAACAGGTTCATTTTCCTCTATCTCACATAGCTCTCTGCTTCCAAAGAAAAAAAACATACAGTGTATCTTTTGCTTTTTAACTAAGCAATACTGAACTGGCGTCTGCTTTGAGTTCCTGCTTTCAGCTGTGATGTTATCTTGAGGCCATTTTCAATTTTTATTTCGTCATTTTTCCTTCTCCATGTGTCTGCTTTCTAGATGGGTAAGTGCATTACATGGTACAGTCAGCTGAGTTTTCAGGCACCTTTCTAATCATCAAGTAAAGAGCAGAAGTGCAGTATACACTCTAGTACCAGCCGTGATGCAGATCTGTTGTACAGATGGAGCCTTGCTTATACCTCCTCCTATTTAACTTCCCTACTCCCATCCCAACACTGTCTTTGTGCTGACAAGAGAAGGCAGAAACAGAAAAAAATGCTTTGATTTTTCCATGTCGACATTAAAACAGGGAATCACCTCATGGCATGGAAGGATTAGGAAACAACAATAAATTTAAGGAGTATATAAATTCTAATTGCTGAGGGCTGGACATTAATCCTAAAATGCTTAGAGGAAGTGTGAAGTGAGGTTTAAGTAGTTCAGATAAAGCCAGGGGGAAGAGCTTGTTTTCTCTGCTCAAGAAACAGCCTGACAGAGAAGAGCAACCTCAGATTTTACCACGGCATCACTGATGAAGTAAAGCCTTAGAGGAGCTTTTTTTATCCAGTAAAAAAGATAAAGGGGAAGCTTCCTGCCATTTTTCCAGAACCACTGTGCTGCGAGAAGTGTCTTAAAATACTTTAGAGGTATTCAACATAAGCCTTCAAAGGTCTTATGGAATATGACCTGAATTTCTCAGGCTTTTCTGCTAAGCTGATTGTTTCTGAAAATGTCTTGATGAATCATAACAGAAGAACAAATCTTTATGAAGAAAACAAATAGCAGTAACTGCTCTTGACATGATGGCTGCCTGAAGGAACCCCTACCTTTTATACCATCACTGTTGGCTTACTCTGTCTAGAGATGTTGGAATATCATCTTGAGACAGGTATCAACAGAATGGTAGGGTTCAACCTAATGCTGACAAAGATATCAGAAGAGGTCTTTAGAGTATTTTTGGGACAATAGTCCCAATAGAACAAGCATATCAACCACACAGTGCAGGTGTTCTGTAGTGTTTCCAAAAAAATGTATAAAGGTAGGAAAATTATATTGTGATTAATGAATGTGATTGCCACAGCACTTTTAAGATTTAAAACAGTCATCTTTCAGAATGTGCATCGTGCTGTTTGTGTTTAACCAGCAGTATGGCTGGGAGCCCGATGGCTAAGGGGACAGTAAAAGGTCTCTGACTGAAATGTACTTTACTGGAAAAGCCCAGACTTAAGCACTAAACAACTCTTGTTACCAGGTCTAAGCACTGGGTGAACTCAAGCTTTCTTCATCTTCAGTGATGAAAAATGGCCTTGGCAACCAGTTCAGCTTCTTCCAATGTGTACCAAGGAAAAACAGGGGAAAAAAAAAAAATCTGCTTTTTCTTTTGCATATTGGTATTGCTAATAACTGTGAATGATCCCCTTAGAAAGAAGCCAGGGCAGTTTCAGAAAGTGACAAAAAAAACCCTTCCAAACATGAAGGCTTCTTTTTGTGCTAAGAGTAGCTCCACAAGCATCACCATTGTCCTTCTACACAGAGGCTGCACCAGACAGCAAAGCTGAAAGAACAAATGAGGATCTTTCCAAGAAGAGGTCTTACAGGATAGACACTGACTGATATGATCACATCTGAAACAAATTCTTCCACAAGGGCAAGCCTTTTCCTACCATTTCCATCAGATCTTCATGCTCAGCTGTTTGATATCAAAAAGCATCTGTCAACAGGAAGACTTGTCCCAAATGTTACTGTCAAGACAACAATCACTGCAGTGAAACATCTCAGAACTCCATAATTGTCCTGAACATTGAGTTGACTATCTGTTCCTAATGCTTCTGTGGATCACTAGAACAACATACTCTGTGAACCAGCTTACAGCAGGCTAGCATAAAAACAGACTATGAGGAGTCTACAAGTCTAAGATCCACATTTTTTTCTTGCATCTTGTAGATAGATTTTTATTGAACATCCAGTCCTGCCACTTCTTAGGAGAAGTTTGTTACTCATCTCTGTGTTTCAGTTTGTCTGTAAAACATACAACAACCTTACAAAGCAGCTGAGACTGATACGTGAAAGCTAAGTAAAATATAGGGAAATGATGCAATCTTCCTTAAATTATATCCTATAATACTAAAAGATAACCAGAGTCCCCCCTCAAGGATTCCCTTAGCTATCACTATTCAGAAATTATTTATTATAGAAATTGTGACAGATTTCACTTTTAAGTAGTGACATGCTTTCAGAGACATCTGCATTCTGGTGCAACCTACTAGGCACAGAGCTATGTCTATCTCAATTCTAGCAGAATCTATATTCTATATATTTCTATAAGCAAACTATACATCTCTCTCTCTACATTTCTAGCAGAAATCTACACAGCTCCTCAAAGCTAACAAGTTTCACCCTATGAAACGTCCAGTTACTGCTGTCTGTGAACTCCTTCAGTCTTTTTTTTCCCC